CATCACAAACAATGTCTTGTCTCCCTTTATTCTTTGCTTTAATCACTCCTCTGGTCAGTGTTTTTTGAGCACTTACTACCTAGTTTGCCTGTGCCGGGAACTGGCAGGAATGAGTGACAGAGGCCAGGCCCTATGCTCTTGGAGTGCATCAACTTGCAAAGCACTCTGGTATTATTGGGGCCAGACTAATGGCAAGTGACTATGCCTTCCAGAAAAAGCTTCTGTCTCGCTGACATTTTCCACTGGGGTGAGATGGACCAGCTTCTGTGGGCTCCTGTGGTGTGCAGTTACTGATGGGTTATCAGGAGAAGGGGGATTGAATAAGCTGGACAGTGTAGAGGGCTATGGGCTTGCCAGAAAAAGCCACCTGATTCCTTAGGTAGAAAGGGAGTTCTGGCTGCTTTAGCAGATGGATTTTTCTTCTGTGACTACAGATAGGCCAAAGGATTCTGATGGCAGCACAACAATGAGAGCTTTTAGGCAATTTAGTTGTGAGGGTTGAGTCATTTTAGCAAGATCAGAGAGAGAAAGATGCATTGCTCTTTATTTGTAGTTGCAAAATGTTTTCTTATATTGTTTCTATTCTTGTTAAGAGCTTGCCTTTGTCACAGTAAATAGCCGGTTATTTCCCTTTGGGATGGAGGTTGCTGCAGGTTGCAGGCTTTTTGGGTGTTTATCCAAGCTCAGGGGAAAAGGACAGTGAGCAGTGGCACATTAATTAGCCAATTAACAAATGTTAATTAATTTGCAGTATGTTCCCCAACTTTATTGAAGTGTAATTCACGAAGGTATTTCCCTTTTGCATGTGTGAGGTAAGAACACTAAGATCTACTCTTAGCAAATTTCAAGTGTGTGTGTATATATATGTGTGCTTATACAGGTATATGTATATATGTGTGTATGTGTGTGTATATATATATATATATACATATATATATATAGCTGACTATATTCTAAGCTTATATGAGATCTACAAAATTTATTCATCCTGCACAATTGACACTTTGTACCCTTTCACCCAATATGAATAAAGAAAATGTGATTGTTCTGTCCGTGTCTATCTGTCTGTCTGTCTACCTACCTACCTAAACACACATACAATGGAATATATTCAGTGTTTAAAAAGAAGGAAATACTCCTTTTGCAATGATGTGGATGAACATGGGGGACATTAGTCTAGGTGAAATCAGTCAGTCACAGAAAGAAAAACAGTTCATAATCTAATTTATATGTTGAATCTAAAAAATATCAAACTTGTCAGAGCATAGAGTAGAAGGGTTATTGCCAGCTACTGGGTAGGGGAGCTGGGTGCTGCCATTTAGCTTGCCATTGATGTTGACCCCAATGGTTGGAGCAGGAACACAGCATTGTAATTTGAGTGAGGCCATGTGCTTCTTACTCAGTCATGATCCTTCTTTGGGGTATAATCTGCTTGTTATGGGAGGGATTGAGTCTCCTAAAATTCATACATTGAATATAGTATCTGAACATTCCTGTATTTGGAGAGGAGGTCTTTAAAGAGGTAGTTAAACTAAAACGAGGTCAACATGATGGGTATCTTCATAAAAAGAGGAAATTGACATTGGTACTGGCCTCTGGAAGACAGATCATGTGAGGACTTGGGAAGAAGATGACTCCTACCAGTGAAGGCGAGATGTCTCAGAATGGAACCATCCTGGCCACTACCTGAACTCAGGCTTCTCTCCTCCGGAAATGTGAAGCAACAGATGCTAGTTGTTTTAGTCCTGCAGTCTATGCTCCTTTATTATGGTGGCTTGAACAATTCTGATCCATGCAGAGGAGTAGAAGTAGGGAGGTGAAATCCTCCTTGACCCTGTTATTTCCCCTGTGATCTGCTCACGCTTCAAAAACCCCAGGGGTGGGTGATAGAGCTGACGTTTCTGCATGGAAGCTGTCTTGGTTGGTGCCCTTGGAAGGTGTCTTCGTTGCTGTGTACTGAGGGATATGGCGGCCATCTTCAGATAGAGAGCCCTAGTGCAACAGTGGGAAGCCCACTATGTAAACTGTGAAGTGCTGTGCTAGTGACTGATAAGAGTGAAATACAGCTCTGGGCTAAACCTCAACTTATTCGACTTTGGAGTCAAGAACTCAATTTCAATTTTGAAATACTCATTAACTCTCTTTTCTACTATTTCCTATTTTAAAACCAACCTTCCAACCCTTTACATGTTAACCTCCATTTCCCTCAGGCTTCTACCTCTTTCTTGTCTCTGCTTCTTTTCATGTCAAGCATTTGAGAAACAAAAACAGCTTTATTTGCAAATCAATTGTCATGGAGGTAGGAGATAAAACTCAAATCTACCTCCCCAAATGAGTGTATGTAGGTTTTCGGGACCAGCTGGAGAACAAGAGTTCAATTCTGTGGCTAAAGTTCACTGGCCAGTCACAGCTCACAGCAGCACCTTTGAAGTTAGGTGGTGTGTCTGTGCCGCTCTCCCTCCCTTTTACCTTCTCAGTCTCCTGTTGCCTTGGAGCTGATCCGAAGGCTGTCAAATAAACTGTCTGTAAATACAAGCTGAAAGAGAACGTTACATAGGATTGTTTTTACTCTTCTGGATTTAGGGTTTGAGACCAATTTAACCACTTAGTCTTGTTCTCAACTGAATGGGAGAAAAAAGTCCTTGATCGGTGCCATTTTTAGAATAAAATCTGGGCTTTTCTTAAGATTGAAGACTCAGTAATCTCCTTTTGCTCGCTTGTTTGCTCCATTAAAATAATAGCTAAGGATTGACAAAGTTATATAACACAAATAGAGGAAAAAATGAGAGAAAAACTGTGTCCACACAGTTTGATAGGAAGGTAGGGAGGGGTTTGGTGGGATACCTCTGGAAAGGGGTTCATGGCAGTGAGGCAGCTCTGTCCAGAAGACCCACTCCCCCAATCCTCCCACCCCACCCCAAGTTTAAGACTTGGGACACCAGAGACAATGAAGCATGGAGCTGGATCTTCATATCACTATCTGTTTCTTTGAAGTTACTGCATGCCTCCCTCAGACCTGAGGAGAAGGGCGGTGAGAGGAGAGATTCAGGGCTGAGTGTATCCAACAAAGAGGGAGAACAGGTGAGAGGCAGATGGGCGATGGGGTGAGTAGACAAAGGCCTGAATTCTGAGCAGCGGTGCCAGAAGCCAGGGCTGCCTTTAGGGTGTCCAGGGTCGACAAGAGTGTGTGTGTGGTGTATTGTATTTGTCTGTACTAATAATTTGAGCCCTATAAAGCCAGCCTATTAACTATCCTGGTGACGCAATCTCATGTGATCCTGTGATAAAAGTCTCTTTTGGCTGGCAGAACCCATATGCTGCAAGGTCATCTTCCTGGCTTGACCACTGGGTTCAAGGAGCATGAGGAAGGGACCTTGATGGAGGAGAGGCTGAGATGTGAGTTGCAGGAGGTTGATGGACAGGAGACTTCTTTACCAACCTGTTGAGGTGGGGGAAAGAAAGATGGCATCTGGGGGAAGGGGGTGTCCGTTGGAAAAGTAGGTAACTTGCTGTAGTATCTGTTATAGTGAAAAGACTTGGTTAAGTACACGTAGATACACAGACCTTAGAGAAATTTGGGAAAGTTCAATATTTAATGTCAAGACAAAATAATTATCAATTCAAGGGAAAAAACCCAAAAAAGTAGTTGAAAGAAAAATCCATTTTACTGAATTTAAGATGCCATAATTATAAAACATCATCTTTTTTAAGAGCAAAGAAAAAACTGTCATCTATTTAAAAGGCAATTTGTAAGTTTAAGACATCCATTTTTCAGGACTGTTAGAAAGTCAAAATGTGTACTTAAAATTGGTAAAAATACTACCTTGTTTGGCTCTAGAGTGTACGATAGTGACACTGATTACTGATTATTGATTTAGTCACAAATTGTGATGTAAACTTATTATGAGAACGAGGAGAGGAAATGGATGAGTTTCCCACCTGTCTGGGAAATGTAAGTGCTGAATATTCATATTTATGAGATAATTACTCATACTCCAAAAGGAAGGAGATGAAGCTAAGAATTGATAAATCAAGAATTAGCAGCATTATTTCTGAAGAAACTATTGAAATAAGTTGAAAATCATGGCTGTGGGTTACTGGATGAAGATGGGGTAGGTTGGGGTGAAGTGGTTTGGAGAATGGATGTTTTTTCATAACAGGTCCTGGGTTCATAAGGCTGTTCAACAGAGGCATATCATTGAAATAAACAGGGAATGAGGAAATCAGGGAATGACTTAAAATGGGACAGATTTGGAGATTAGGTCCCCAGATCATGGCTGCCCCTTTTTCTTAGGACTATCTTATCTGGGGCTCTCCCTGGTGGTGCAGCTGGTTAAAGCACAGATTTGGAGCTAGCCAAAGCAACTACAGCATAAGTTCGATACCCCTGGTCAAGGAGCTGACCCACATGGCACAGCAGACCTGTCTTGTCTCTCCCACTGCTTCCCTCAGCAATGTGTTCCATTCAATCCATCTTTTCTGCTCCCCACTTTGTCTCTGGTGAATCCTCTCACCCCTGCACCTCTGGCCTGTACCCCAGTTCTTGTATGCATAAATAAAGAAATTTATAAAAAAAGAAAAAGAAATATTTTATCTGGACACACAGTTAAGACAAGGTTATGTCCTGCTGGCCTCTGGCTCTGGGGAGGCCTGGCACCTCCCACCCTCTCTGCACCTCTTTTCCATCTTCCCCCAGATTGGAAGTATTATGGGTGAGGATTACCCAGAGTCCTCTTACTTGTGAAGAAAGATATATAGAGTTTAGAAGTCACTCCATTTATTTCAACTCTGGTCCTCACGGCAGTTGAGTAGGTGTGACTGCCACCATCTCCCATGTGTGGACACGGAAGCTCAAGGGGCTGCCCCTGGGCACCCCTCCTGAGTCAGCACCCCGCCACTGGGCACCCCGTCTGAGACAGCACAGTCTTGCGTGCTGCGGGGCCTCACTGGCGCTTCTTTCTCGTGGCCTCTAACGTCATTCTGTCCCCATGATATTTTAGAGGAAAGAAGAAGAGGAGAGGAAGCGAGGAGAAGAGCAGATTCGCCTCCAGGAAGAGCAGAGGGCAAAGGAGCTCTACTTGACCCTGAAGCAGGCCCAGCTGCAGAGCCACGCCAGCGAGAAGGAGGAGCAGGAGTGGGCAGAACAGCGTGAGTCAGGCTGCGCGGAGGCCGGGAGACAGCCTGCTTCCCTGCCGGCTGTCCTCTCACTCTGGTTTGAGATCACTCGTCATCATTCTAGCTCACTCAGTTAGCCCATAGCCTATGGGTGCAGTCCTGCCAAGGACCCAGCGGCTCAGGCCTCCCCCTTGAGCATCCATGCCTGCTGGGGAGATTTCTTTCTTTTAAAAAAAGATTTATTTGTTTATGCATACTAGAACTGGGGTGCAGGCCAGAGGGGTGGACGGTGAGAGGATTCACCAGAGTCAGAGTGGGGAGCAGAATGGGCAGCTTGAGTGATACACTGCTGAGGGGAGCAGCAGGTGACACAGGAGAGGTCTGCGGTGGCACGTGGGTCAGCTCCCTGGCCAGTCTGGAATCAAACTCGTGCTGCAGTGGCTGGCAGAAGCTTGATATCCCTGAGTCTTTAACTCCTGCACCACCAAGGAGGCCCCTGGGGAGATTTCTTTATACTAGAGTAAAAGCCTACACTTACTACTCTCTGGGGTTCAAGTTAGGGTTTCCTGGCTTTGTGTTTAGTCCTGGGGATCAAGGGATGTGGATGGAATCATGGTCCTTATCTTGGAAGGGCTCACAGGCTAGGTAGGTGCTAGGTTCAGGTTAAAGACTCAGACAGTGAATGTTCCACATACCGTTGAAGCATGAAGTAGCTATGCTGTGTGATCAAGCGCGGCTTTCTGGTGCACCGAGGTGAGTGAAGCTAGGAGACAGGAGAGGCATTCTAGGTGATGGGTTCACTCATCACCAGAGGGATGGGTGTGCTTGAAAGCGGAGAGGTATGACTGGCTCTAAAATTTGGAGATGTTAAGATGGGGAGAGATTAGGTGGGAGAGGGAAGTGGGATCAAGACTGAAAGGTAGTTATGTTCTCAGGATCTGCTTTACTCAGGTGTGTGTGGGGGACACGTTGACATGGAAATTGCCAGCAGGCAGCTTTTCCTCAGGGGTTCCTACCTGCAGGGAGACAGCGCCTTTTTCTTCTGGGTTACCCAATTTTCAGGGTTTGATTGCTTATGGTCGTTTCTTCTGCCCTTAGTATTTTTGTGGCATGAGTTGTAATGTGTCTTCCATCATTCTTGATTTTGCCTATTCGTGTGCCTTCTCTTTTCTCCTGCTTATGTTGACTGAAGATTTATCAATTTTGCTTATCATTTCAGAAAACCATTCTCAGCTTCATTGATCTTTTCTATTGTTTTTCCAATCTACTTCATTCATTTCAGGGCTGATCTGTTTTCTTTTTTTTTCTTTTTGGTGCTAACTTTGGCCTCAGTTTGTAGTTGTTCTTCTAGTTCTTGGAGGTAGAAAGTTGAGCTGTTTATTTGAGATCTTTCTTTTCCTTTCTGCAGGCATTACCACTATAAACTTCCTTCTGAGAACAGATTTTTGCTTTTGTGGTGTGATTTGGTATGTTGTGTTTCTATTTTCATCTATCTCAAGCTAATTTTTGATTTCCAGCTTTGAATCATTGTTCAGGAGGGTGTTTCATTTTCACACATTATGAATTATTCAACTTTCTTCCTGGTATTGATTTATAGTTCCAAGCAATTGTGATCAAAAAAGATTCATTGTGATAAAAAAAATCTTGATATGATTTCAGTTTTCTTAAACTTGATAAGTCCTACTTTGTGGCCTAATATATGATATGGCCTAGAAAATGTTCCATGTGTGTTTAAGAAGATCATTTTCTGCTGCTATTGAGTGGAATGTTTTGTCTGTTTGGTCCAATTAGTTTAAAGTGCAGTTACATTGAATGCTTCCTTATTGATTTTCAAAATGGGTGATCTGTTATTAAAAGTGGAACACTGATGTCTCCTCCTTTTATTGCATTGCTATTTTTCCCTTCAGATATGTGGATATTTGCTTTATATATTTAGTTGCTCTAATGTTGACTGCATGTATACTTTTTTAATAAATTCACACTTTTTAGCATTCTATAATGACCTTTTCTCATTACTATTTTTGACTTAATGTCTGTTTGTCTGATACATGGTTAGTTATCTCTGTGCTTATTTGGTTTTCATTTGCATGGAAGTTCTTTTTACATCCAAGAAGGGAGAACATTGGAATGGTCCTGTGGAGGAGATGGCATTTGGTTGAGGAGAAGTAGAGAAAGATAAAGAAAGCAGAGAAGAGAAGGGCATATAATAGCGACAATAGCACTGAGCAAAGACAAGATCCTGTGTGCAAACATATATACATGTTTTGAGTGACAGCAGCCTGGGGTTCATGGTAGGCATGAAAATGAGGCTAGAAAGATAATGTGGGCAAGGGGTAAAGAAAACTCACTTGTTTAAATTCAGAGTGGATGAAGAGAGAGCTGAACAAAGAAGGCAGACAAAGGTTTACTTATTTAAATGACATTTACTGAAGTACTGTTGACAACACTGTGTATGATTTAGCTGTATAGGTTCACACCTCACAAATTTGTGTTATCACACCACATCCACCACCAAACACCAATAATCTTCTACCCTAGTCCACTGAGTCCCCTCCCATTTTTGCTCCTTGCCCCCCCAGGTCAGAGGTTTATACTGAAAAAGTCGTGAACACAGTGAGGTCACAGAAGCCCCCTGGAGGGCGGGGAAGGAGAACGGGCCTGGGTGTCCTGTCATAGGTGCTGTGACCACTGTGGCCTTGAGCAACTGCTCACTTGTGCTCCTTGTGCTCCATTCCTTCATTTGTAAGTTGGGGCCACTCATGCTGAGGTGAGGCTTGCTGGGATTGTGAAATGAGAAGGAGGAAGCCAAACTACTTCCTGCGTTGTAAAAGGCTGTCATTCAGTTAGTGGTCCTGTTTTTTTTTTTTTTTTTTTTTCCATAACTACATGACAAGAGGGAAAGTTATAGGCTGGGCTTGTGTTTTGTTAGAGCTGGAGAATGGAAATTATCTGGCCCAGGTGCTGGCTGATTGCTAATTAATGTACTGTGTGGCAACTGAAAATGGAAAGACCTCAAAAAAAAAAAAAAAAACAAAACAGAGAAAAGATGTGATAATTCAAGTCTCAAGATTTTGGTTCTTCATTTTATGCTTTCCTAAAGAATGATGAGCTAAACTCTGGAACCTGTCATTCAAATCCAGCAAAGCCATTCTGCACTCAATTAATTTAATGTGAAAGATATAGTGGGCCATTAATCTCCCAGGGAACAGCAGTTTTTGATAAAACACCTAAATTAAATTCTCCAACTTAGAAGAAAAGGGAATTGTTCCCTTTAGTATCACTTGAATACAGAGTTAGTTATTCAGTTCAAACAGCAGAGCACACACTGGCTTTGGAGAAGCTCTGAATAGATCAGGCAGAAATTAATTTAGTAACTTCTTCACTGTGAACTTGGCATGTGGCATTAAGTAACATCATGTTGCCCAGAGATTGAGAGATGAAGCAGTAAGACTTGGTAAATGCTATAATTTACAAAACTTTGAACTTTCTCATTGTAGCTGCTATTTAGTTAAAATGTGAACAGCATTTTGCAGTTTCTAGACAGACTTGCGTTTATCGCCCAGCTTCTGGAACTGTGTGATTCTGGTTGCGGCCCTTACTCCACCATCTGTGTGCTGTAGTTTATGAGTCCCTCAGCCTGAATGTTGTCCTGCCGAGTACAGAAATGTGTGCTCGGGCCCAGAAGGCGTCTACTTCTGTTGATCCCATTCTCTTCCCTCTTAGCAGGATGTGAGCTCTGGAGTGTGAGTTTAATGTCAGTGGTTCTGAGATGCTGTGTACTTGAGTCAGGCAGAATGTTGTAGAGATGGGGGTGTGGTCTGAAGGTGGGTGGGAGAGAATAGAACTTGGGGCTAGAAGAGAAGCTGAATATCGAAGAACTTTTATATTCCCAGGTCGGCTGGGAAAGCGTGCCAAATCATGTCGTTTCTCCTACTAGGACATGGCCAGCTTGAACTGCTCCTCAAACTCCAGGTGTGATATACTTTTGGTGTTTTATCACTCAAAATAAAGGCAACCTGAGACACCCCTCCCTTGCCAGTCCGATTGATTCCTGTCCAGGTTTGGGTTCTGTCTCTTAAAATGTTAAGAATCTCTGGGGGCTTGTCCCAAAGCAGAGTCCTTCAGAGGCTCACACCTGACCTGGGGTAGGTACATTCTGATCTCAAGATCATCATAGCCACAGGGGGTCACTGTCTGTGGCCATCAGCATGGCTATCTGGCTGAGAATGCTGGCAGGTGACTTCCGAAGCCTTAGCTTCCTGGAAAACACCATTTCCTTGACCTACATTTAGCTGTGGGTAAACCTCACTTGCTATCTCTGAGGCCCATCTCAAAGGGTCCTATCTTGATGTGAAAGCTACATTTGTGGAGATGGCTCCTTCAGCATCTCCAGAGTCCCCAGAGGCTCCTATGTAGATCCTGTACAACTGGAGTCAATTACCACCCTCTCCCGGGGTTCAGGAAGCCTCCTTTTTTTTTTTTTTTTTACAAAGCTTTTATTTTACCAATTTCCTTGACAAAAACTCCTGAATATCCAGCCCTTAACCCCAACAATTCCATCTCCATCCATTTGTGCCTCAGTAGACCCTAACTCTTTCCTATTATTATTTTCTTACTACTTAAAATTGTGCTAATTTTGAGTTGAGGTAACTGATGCAGAGCATTATATGTGACTTAGAGACAGAGGTTCGCCCCTCCTCAGGTGAGTGTTAGGACACCATGCCCTGCCATCCTGCCTGTGGGCCATGGTCGTCTCTTCCCTGTGCTCCCTACCCTTTACTCTCCCCCATGGGGATCCTCGCTTCTATAGTCAGATTTCTGGAGTTTGCTTTGCTTTAGTTTTGTCTGTTCTTTTGTTTTGTTTCACTCTATTCTGAAACCAGCTGGTATTTGTCTTTCTTCTTCTGACTTATTTTGCTTAGCATAATCCCCTCCAGTTCCATTCACGTTGCCACAAATGGCAAGGTTTCATCTTTTTATTACAGTTGAGTATCCCATTGTGTCTATATATACCACATCTTCTTAATCCACTC